CCCCAGAGGCAATGAGCGCAGAACCCAGAGCACAGGAAAATAGGAAAATATAGGAAAGAACGAAAGAGATTAACATGGAAATGCATTCTATGTTTTGTAAAGATCATGCCGATTACCACAGATGGACATGACTGGAGGGGCCAGAATGGACAAGCCCAGGGAGGAGGCGGAGGCATGGGGGAGGGATGGGCCCTGGAGACAGACAGGGGTGGTGGAAAGCAGAGCTATGTGGGAGATAAAATCAACAAAACTAGGTGGGGGATTGGAGTGGGGAGGAAGGAGGGAGCCTTAAGAATGACTCCTAAGATTGTGCCTTGGGAGATGGGATGGCTTCCCCTTTGTGCGTGGTGTTCCCACTTCTGGAACACCCTGTTCCACTGTAACTCCTTCACCTGGCTGCTGCCCACTCATCCTGCAGGTCTCCATCCAAGATCACTTCTGCAGAGCCGCCTCACCTGACCCCAGGGCCAGGTTGGATCCCTCAGTTTTATGCTCTCATTTTCTTTTGCATATTTACTTAGTGTGATCACACATCTATTAGTATCTGTGAGTTGATCTGGGTTCACTCTTGCATCCCCAGTGCCAGCACATAGTAGGTGCTCAATAAATGAAGGCTCCAAATGCAGACAGTTACACTGGACCTATCCTGCAGGGTGGTGTTTCTCAAATGGCATGGAGGTTGCTGGATTTCAAAATACATAGACTTGGGCCGGCCTGTGGCTCACTCCGGAGAGTGTGGTGCTGATAACACCAAGGCCATGGGTTCGGATCCCATATAGGGATGGCCGGTTGCTCACTGGGTGAGCGTGGTGCTGACAACTGGTGTTTCTCAAATGGCATGGAGGTTGCTGGATTTCAAAATACATAGACTCCCTCCACCACCCCCCCATCCACTCCAAAAGGGAAGGAGTCCTCACCCTGCCCACTTTATAAGAATCTGTGTGTGTGAGGTGATGTTCCTGGGTGACACAGGAACTTGCACATGAGCCTGGAGGCAGTAAAAAAGTTGACAACTGTTGCTGTTTGCAGATCTGTTTGGAGGTTCGGGAGTAGAGGAGTGAGTGGATGGAAGCTGGGTAAGAATCTGTGGGCCTGGTGGGAAGGCTTGGAGGGCAGGAAGTGCTATGTAGGGCATGGAGTTGGCAGAGAGGGCTCCCAGAGATGTTATTGACACCAGAGCTGCGGGGTGATCATGGGCAGTCCTCGCTTTCTATTGATGGTCTCCAGGGCCTCCCTAACCTAAGAAATAAGAAATAAATAATACTAAGAAAATAAATACTCCACACAATCTGTTCTGTGGTTCATAAATTTGTTGTTTTGTTTATAGCTGTGTCTAGGAAAGCACCTAACATGCAGTAGAGGCTCCAAACGTATCTGTTGATTTTTTTTTTTTTTTTAAAGATGACCGGTAAGGGGATCTTAACCCTTGACTTGGTGCTGTCAGCACCATGCTCACCCAGTGAGCAAACCGGCCATCCCTATATGGGATCCGAACCCATGGCCTTGGTGTTTTCAGCACCGCACTCTACCGAGTGAGCCACGGGCCAGCCCGTATCTGTTGATTATTGAAGGAAGGCAGGAAGGAGCGAAAGTCCTCAAAGCACTCAGTGAGTCTTGGGGGAGGCACACCAGGTAACACACCAGAGGGGATTACCATTCCCACGTGGGGAAGGTTGCTGTGCGGATTAAACAAGATAATGTATAGGAAAGTCCTGGCAGCTTAATAAATTCAGGTTCAAAATCTGGGAGGAGAGAAGCCGGGCTGAGGGGGAGACGGATGGGAGGAGGCTAGGTGGGGAGTCACATGGGACGCCCTGGGGACAGCCCCAGGGGAAACCCCCAGGGGTCTTCCAGGAACCCCCATAGGACCTAGCACAGCTGACACCTCTACCCTACCCGGTCAGACTGGCAGGAATTTGCCCTGGTGACCTCCCCAGGCACACTCCTGTCACCATGACGACCAGCTGCAGGAACAAGCAGCTTGATTGTCCCTGCTCAGCGGGGCAGGTGAAACCCTGGCCACGTGACCGATACTGGGCCAGGTGCGGCTGCAGGACACCCGCCGCCTCCCCGCCTTAACCCATTCAATGCCGCTGCCACCAGGGCGCAGTGTCCCTGCCACTGCAGGCCACACCCTTTTGGCGCTGGGTCCCTAGCCAGAAGTGTGGTCACAATGTACATCACAACAGTGATCAGCACTGCACTAGGAGTCAGTGAAGAAAAGAATCCGGGAAGAAATCCGGGCTGGGTCACACACTGGCTGAGTGCCTTGGAGCTGGGTCCATCTCCCTTTCCTTGTTAGTAACATGAGGATGACACCTCCCACTTCATGAAAAGGCTGGGAATGTGGGGAACAGGGATGCGGAAATGTAGGCTAGACCTCCTCACAGAGGGAGTGTCCATCCTGCCCCCCCAGCATATCAGGGCCTCCCCTCCAATGGCTTGACACTCCGCCAAAGGTGGACCCTCACCAACCAAACAGCAAGTCCACTGGCCTGTTCCTAACAATCTAAGAAGGGGTGAGTAGCCCCTAGGATGACCCCTCCCCAACACATCACCACCAGAGTTGGAAACCAGTTGGAAACGACCCTTCCCCTGCCCATACCACTTTCTCTGGAATGTTCAAGTGGAAACCTCAAGCCAACTGGTTTTTCTGCTTGCCAGGCCCAGCCCTAACCAGCACGTGACAGGGCTGGGGCCCAGGAATCTGAGTACATGTCTCAAGGCTGCTTCTGTCCCTAGCCACAAGGCTCTTTGGCTCCAGGGCAGATGGTCAAGGGTCGTGGGCCAGGCTCAGGTTACCTAAGCAAGTTACCTAGCTAAACAGTAGGCTGGTTGGGGGCTGGGGCACTGGGGAGCTGTTTGAAACTATCTTTAAAATACTACACTTCTGGGGCCAGCCCGTGGCTCACTTGGGAGAGTGCGGTGCTGATAACACCAAGGCTATGGGTTTGGATCCCATATAGGGATGGCCGGTTAGCTCAGTGGCTGAGCGTGGTGCTGACAACACCAAGTCAAGGGTTAAGATCCCCTTACCGGTCATCTTTTAAAAAATAAATAAAAAATAAAATAAAATACTACACTTCTGAATCATCTAACGCCCTTCCCCTTCATTCAGCAACTCTAGAAAAACACCCTCAAAGGACCCTTCCCAGGCGTGGGACTAGCCCACATCCAGGGCTCAGATGCCCTCATCACTCCCCTAATGACTTTGCTGGAAACAAATGATCACACCACCTGTCGTCTTTAGAGTCCCCAGTGACCTCAGAGTGTTCCTCAGATTAGAACAAAACAGCTGCCATTAAGCAAGGAGATGGAGCTACAGAGTTAGGACACATCTTACTGGTCCTCAACTGTGTCAGGGCTGCCCTAAGGAGGTGGGTGAAGAGCTGGTGCAACACTGCTGGCAGGTGCCACCTCCTGAAGGGGGTACTAATCCAGCCACCATCTGAAACTTCACCCAGGCTTTCACTAGAGCCCTGAACCTCTTCATGATCATTTAGTAAAGATGAACAAAATGTAGCTCCTGTCCTCCAGCAGCCCCCAGCTTATGACGGACACAGGGAAGGCCCATTCTGTAATATTGCACAGTAGACTCTGACAAATGATTTGAGAACATGGGTAGAAAAGATTAGTTTCAACTCAGGGAATCTGGGAAGGCTTGAGGAGGAGGTGGCAGTAACACTGGGCCTCAAAAGAGGTCTAGGACTCCAGCAACTGATATTTGGAAGGCAGATACAGCACCCCGAGGGGGAGTGAGGTGGGTAAAGATCTAAAGGCAGGGTGCCGGGTAAGGAGTATGAAAATGGCCAGTATGGGTGGAAACGTGGGTACGATCAGACTGAAGATGCTTGGATTGTTATGATGAAGTTTCAACTCTCATTGTTAGGGATCGGGAGTCGCTGAAGGTTTTTGGACAGAACTCCACGAATAAGTGGGCTGTAGAAAAGCAGCTTCTCTTGCAATTGCTGAAGGATGGACTGCAGTGGACGCCGGCTGAAACCGAAACAATGTCACCACCGCTACCCCAGACTGGGGAGAGGAGATGGCATGGTCAGGGTTCCCAAGGGAGGAGACTTCTGTGCAGAATGTGCTGAGCTCTGGGGTGGGAGGATTGTTTATTCTGCTGGTAAAAGGCGGGGAGCTGATGAGCCTCTTATTCAGTTCAGTCCAGCAAACGCCTGTTACAGTACAAACACGTGGCCAGGGTCTGACCCTGGTCTCCCACCTTGACCCACATCAGGAACAGAAGACCGGACAGAGATTCTGGTTTTGTTTCTCGGACAAACCATTTGTCCTTTCTGCACCTCAATTTCCCCATCCGTATAGAGGACGGAGGGGTTTGGAGGTGACCTCTAGACCCTCCTAGCTCTTCCTAGAGTCGACGATTTCAGGATGAATAAAGGTGCCCGTGCTCCATCCGACCAGCCTGGGCCCCCGGCTGTGGAGCACGGCGCCACCAAGCTGGCGCCCCGACGACAAGAGCCACTCCTGGCGCCTCTCGCCCGCGCCGGCGGCACAGAGTATGCATACGCCCAGGGAAGTGCGAGAGGGCAGAGGAGCGGGCAGGGCGCGGGCGAAAGCAGGGTCTCCTCGGCTTGCCAAGGACCTGCTCCCCGGCCTCCCAGGGCTCGCGCACAGAGCCCAGGACATCCGGGAAGATGTGGACGGGATTCCCAGACTTTAAGATCCCGACTCCTCATGAGGATTCTGCGCGGGAAGGAAATGAGTGGAGCTTCGTGAGAGGCGGGGCCAGACGCTTGGGTGGCTCCGCCCAGGGCGTGGCCAGGCGGGCGCCGGGCCCGAGGAGATGACGTAATTGCGCGAGGGCGGGGCCGAGGGTGGTCTATTCTCAGGGATTACGTCAGGAACGGGACCTAGGGCGGGGAATCCGCGATGGGGGCGGGGAGAGGGCGGAGCTCCAGCCGGAACTGGGCAGGGCTCCGGGCGGACGCGGGAGGCAGGGCGTGGGTAGGACGTCCCCTGCGAGGTTCGCGCCAGGTTGGGGCTGCAGGCATGCTCCGCTGGGCTCGCGCTTGGAGGCTCCCCCCTGGGACGCTCACCTCCTCCAATCCCAGCTTCTTCAGGGTGCCTGTCGCACCCGGCGGCGGCGGCGGCGGCGGCCGAGGGGACGCCGAACCCAGGTCAGTGGAGGACCCCGGGTGGGAGGCCTTCCTTCGCCCCACACTCGCCCGGCACCGATGGCCCCACCTCCTCCCTGGCCACGCCCCTCTGAGGCCACTCCCCCAAGCCCTTTTCGCAGACCCGGCTCAGACCCTCCCCCGGTGCTTGCCCCCTCCCTCCAGACCGCTGCCGCTTTCCTACAAGCTTCTGGACGGGGAAGCGGCCCTCCCGCCCATCGTCTTTCTGCACGGGCTCTTCGGCAGCAAAACCAACTTCAAATCCATCGCCAAGGCCTTGGCCCAGCAGACAGGCCGGAGGGTGAGCTTCCGGGTGGGCGGGATCCCTCGGAGATGGGGCCTGGATGGGCAGGGCCTAGGAAGCGGGGCGGGGCCAGCCTCTCACCCTTACTTCTGGGCCCTCCCCCTGAGGAGTGGCAGGTTTCCGCCTATGTAACGCCCAAGGAGAAATGAAAGTCCCTCCGAGGATGGAAGCCGCACAGGAAGACCCAGGCCCTGGATGGACCCCTCATCCCTCATGCTGCTATCTGTCCAGTCTGTAGATGTCCATCTGCATGCCCCACACTGAGCTAGGCTCTGCTGTCCAGTGCCTAAGCACCAACACCCTCTCCACGTAGGGGGCAGGCTGATGCTTTTTCACTAGGGATGACAGGGAGACCATCACCTCTTGTGGCCCATTCTTCTGTGCTCTGACTGTTGGTAATTCTCAGAGTCTCCTTCCTGGCTTTCTCTGGGGTTACCACCCATCTAGGCTAGACCTTAGAGATATAATCATACCCCTTGGGCCTTTTGTTTTCTGGCAGAGTGGCCCCAGGTTCTTCATCTGAGCCTCTTAGGTCTGGGAATTGGGCCATCTCACCATCTGCGCCTTTCCCCTCATCTGGATCTGCCCCCAGACTTTCCACCCCCCTCGGCCTGCAGTCCCCACCAGGCCTTTTGCTGTCTACAGTAGATGCCAGCACTGTCCCCCTCCCTTCATCCCCAGGTGCTGACAGTGGATGCTCGGAACCATGGCGACAGCCCCCACAGCCCAAACATGAGCTATGAGGCCATGAGCCAGGACCTGCAGGGCCTTCTGCCCCAGCTGGGCCTGGTGCCCTGCGTCCTTGTTGGCCACAGCATGGGAGGAAAGACAGCCATGCTGCTGGCACTACAGAGGGTAAGCCACACCTATCAAGGGCCTGCTCCCATCCAGTATAGACCCTGAATGCCCAGCAGGCAACCTGGGACTCAAATGAGCTTTGGATGTCCAAGTTCAGGCTCCGGGAACTGTGCCTAAGACCCACTGTGCCTGCCTAAGACTGGTCTCCAGTGCAGTTCTCTCCCATAGCCAGAGTTGGTGGAACGTCTCATTGCTGTGGACATTAGCCCAGTGGAGAGCATGTTTGTCTCACACTTTGGAATCTATGTGGCAGCTATGAAGGCCGTAAACATCCCAGATGAGGCACCTCGTTCCCATGCCCGAAAACTGGCCGATGAGCAGCTCAGCACTGTTGTCCAGGTGATGCACCCTAGCCCCCACATGGTGTTATAGACTGGGACCTGTCAAGGGAAGAGTGGCAGCCCCTGACCCCACAGGGAGCCCCCCTAACTGCCAGACTCCCACAGAACATGGCCGTGCGGCAGTACCTGCTCACCAACCTGGTGGAGGTAGATGGGCGCTTCGTGTGGAAGTTGAACTTGGACGCCTTAGCCCAACACATGGACAAGATCTTAGCCTTTCCAGCACGACAAGAATCTTACCCCCGGCCAACCCTCTTCCTCCTAGGTGGAAACTCCCAGTTTGTGCAGTAAGCCAGCCTGGGCAGTGGGAGGGGCATGCCCCACTGACCCAGCACCCAGCCTGGGGAGCCTGCCTGGGGGAGGCCTTGGGTGTGGGCAGGGGGTACCTAAGAGCCCAGAAACACCACTGGGCACGTGGGCTCACAGGGCTCTCCATCTTTCCCCACCCTGCCTCCTCTTGTGTCTTTCTCTCCTCGTCATCCCACTTTCACCCCTTCTCAACGGCTTTCTCTGCGGTGCACAGGCCCAGCCACCACCCTGAGATTAGACGGCTCTTCCCTCGGGCCCAGATGCAGACTATACCTAATGCTGGCCACTGGGTCCATGCTGACCAGCCACAGGACTTCATTGCGGCCATCCGAGGCTTCCTGGTTTAAGAGTTGCTGGCAAGAGGGGGCACAAACCCTCAGGTTTCAAGACACTCCAGCCTGTTCCACATTTCTGCACAGAAGGACTGAAGTGGACACTGAGAGGGCACGAGGTTACAGAGGTGTCAGGCTTCCAGCTTTTTTTATTTTTTTATTTTTTTTTCAAGCTTTAATGAATAAAGACAGTGTTCCCAAAGTCCTGGCTGAGCTCTCTCATCACCGACGCCCACGACCCAGCAGGAATCTGGCCCAGGGGTTCCTGGCAGCTCTGGGGTCCACATGGGCTCCCAGAGCACCACCAGACTCTGTCTGCAGCTGACTCTGAACGCGCTGCCTCACCAGCTGCTGCATGTCCTCCTATGGGCAAGAGACAGGTCAGGGCCCACCCTGTGCCCTTCTGCCCACGCCTCCCAGCTCGGCTGGCATGCCCACCCTACCTCCCAGGCTTCCACCTCCTGCCTCAGTCTCAGTTTCTCCTCCAGGACCTCCAGCAGCTGGGCCTCCACAGCATGCAGCCTGGCTTTGCATGTGTCCAGCTCAGCCTCCACTGCCCGCTTCCTGCAGGCAGCAAGGAGAGCGGCCTGAGACTCAGGCCCTGCAGATCTGGCTCTGGTCCCTGGGGGTGGGCTAATGTGGCCACAGCTTATGCCTTAGTGACAGGGTGGGTGTTCATTCCAGGCATGCCTGACTTCTCCTGCCCCTCCGCTATTAGGACAGGGCCCTGAGGGAGAGCCCCCAACTGCCCTCCCAACACCTGCAAGCAGCTCCTCACTTGGCAATGGCTTCATCCCGTTCCTGGAGGACTTGGTCCAGGGAGGGCTCTGTCTGAGTGTCCCCCAGTGCTCCAGCCGCTTGGGACTCTGGGCTCTGTTGTAGGGTGACAGAGGAGGGGGCAGTAATCTGGGGCATGCCTGAATGCAGTGTCCCACTCTGGGCCCTTCTGTCCTGGCCTTGGACCTGATGCTACTGTCAGGAGGGGAGGGGGCTGAGGCGTCTGTACCTGCTCCCCAGCGCCCCAGTCTCTGGACCTCTGGAAAGTAGAGCAGGAAGATTTGGACCATGCTGAGGAGGTGGCGGGTGTGGTCACTGCCTGGCCTAAAGGCAAACAGAATGGTCAGGGGGTTTGGACCCCCAAGGAGGAAAGGAGTTCTCACCCGATTCCCAGGAAAAGACAAGGTGGGTGGGTTCAGAAGGACACTTACCCCTCCAGGGCCCCGGACAGAGACGGTGGGTGGCCTGGTGACTGGGACTCTTGTCAGTGGGGTGGGGCAAGCAAAGGACAAGGCCCTTTGCCCTCCCTTCCAGGCAAGGCACTCCCTGGCAGGCCCCACCCCCTGCAGGCCAGCCCAGGGTGAGAAGGAGGCCCGCGCCCCTGCTCCCTCCTGCATCCCGGAACCCAGGCCCAAAGCTGAGTCAGCTCTGTCCCCCCACCTGTCCCCCCAAGTCACACGCCTCCTCTCTCCCCATGTCTTGTGATGTAAAAAGAGGGACAGAGCCAGGACTTGGCCCTAGCACTGTGCCAATGCTGAGACAAGGTGTCCCAGCCCCCCATTCTGAAGGGTTGGCATCTTGGTACCTGAATGGCATCATCCACACATAGAACTATAACCTCACCGCAGCAGAAAACCGAAGAAAAGGGCCGGCCCGTGGCTCACTCGGGAG